TATTATGACATATTTAAGCAAGACATGGTGACCCCCCAAATTGGAGATCATTAAAGACCAAAGCAATAGCATGTAGGCATTATTTCTCAAATTGAAGTATATAAAATATGTAAAACAAATAAATTTAATTGCATGCTCAGGCAAGAAAATATTGATACAATGATTATTTTATATTATTTCACAATTCTAAACATGGATTTAGCACAATATGAAAACTAGATTATTCATGTAATGAAAATAAAAGACAATTTTTATTGTAACTCAGAAATTATTACGCTTATTTAACAATTTTACTGAAAGGCTAATGAGGTAAGGGGGACAGATTGTAATTACCTAATAATGCTATGGTAACTTATAAAGAAATACCTGTTAGTCACCAAAACTCAAAAAAGTAACCAGCATTGCAACTAAGGATGGATCATACAACAGAAACTAGTATCAAGTTACCTTATCTTATATTATTTGCTGTTAAAATGAAATTTTAAAACACCACCAAAAATTAAGTTGAGGCTAAAACTTTTGTGCAGTAAAGATTTCGTATAGCAGACAAAAGATTGTTGAAATTGAGAGGGTTCCCACCATTCCCTGAGAAGAATGGCTCACCATATCTAAAGTGTTTATAAAAACAATGTGGTTACTCTGAACAGATGCTTTCCTTCTGGGAGTCTGGAATTTGGGTACATGTGAGGGAGAGTAACCTCCATTTTAAAAACTTGGGTACTGAGTCTCTAATGAGATTCTGGTACTGGTAGACATCACTGCACATGTGTTGCCAAATGTGAGGCTGGGAGAATTAAGCAGATCCTGGGAACTCCACAGGAGAGAACTCCTGGAAACTTGTGCCTAGTTATTTCCAGACTTAATCACATGCACCTTTTCCAATTTTACCTGTACCCTTTCATTGTAATAAATTAAAGACCTGAGTATGATTAATTTCTGAGTCCTGTAAGACCTTCTAGTGAATCACCAAACCTGGAGGTGGTCTTGGAAACCCTTGACACAAATACATCATATAAGATTTTTATTAAGTTGATACGATATAAGTGACTGTCATCAGATGGTTATTTCACAGAATAACTTTCCCTAATCTGTTTTTCTTTTTTTTTTTTCTCCTTGATATTTGACTTGGAGATTCTTGTACTTCTATATCTAATTGAATAAAGCCATAAAAGGAATAAATAAAACACTTATTTCAGAAAATAATATGAAATAAGCAGCAATCCTAGTTTAACCAGAATAAAAAATAGAGAATCTTGATGATTGACAGTATGTTCTACAATATGAATGTTCCTTAAAAAAAAAGAAAAAAAGAAAAAGAAAAGGTAGTCAATTTTCTGCAACTCAATTGGGGCTTAATTTCTTTTTATAACAATTGTGCAGGCCAGGTACAGTAGCTCACACCTGTAAAATCATAGCATTTTGGGAGGCTGATGCAGAAGGATTACTTGAGCTCAGAAGTTCCAGACCAGCCTGGGCAATATAGTGAGACCTCATCTAAAAAACACATACATACATGCATACATACATACATAACTTAAAAAGAAAAATAGCTAAGCATGGTGGTGTATGCCTGTAGTCCCAGCTACTTGGGAGGCTGAGGTGAAAGCGTCATTTAAGGCCAAGAAGCAGAAGTTGCAGGGAGCCAAGACTGCACCACTACACTCAAATACTAGCAACAGAGGGAGACAGTGTATCAAAAGTAAACAGATAAACAAATCAACCAATAAATAATTGTGTATCCAGCTAGATGTAACCACACATGACTATGGTCCCAGGTACTCAGGAAGATGAGGTAGGAAGACTGATTTAGCCCAGAAGTTCAAGGCTACAGTGAGCTGTAATTGTACCACTGAATAGATACTGTATTCTAGCCTGGGCAACACAGAAAGACCCCATTTCTTATAATAATAATAATTAATTATTTAAGTAACTTGTATAACTGGAGAACTCATCATTCAAGTAACTTGTATACCTGGAGAAAAACATATGACCACTGAACAAAGTACAACAGTCTACTACTGATCATAGAGCTCCTTTTACTTGCTTCTATTTATTTCTCATAAAATTGAAAAAATGGTTCACCCATTAAAGGCAGTTCTTCACAGAACAAGTCAAAAAGTCAAAAGAACTGCATCCAAAGTGCAGGATGTGTTATCCGCTGCTCCCTACAAATAGTGGATTTGGTCATAAAGAATTAGCAGGACTTTTAACTTATTAGTGTGTACATACGCACGTGTAAGAGCACATGTATGTGTGTGTATATGTGCATGTGTGTGTATGTGTAAACTATGACAGATAAAACCATTTTGCTTACGTAAGAATATGTAACATAGTTTGTACTTCTCACAAAGGAATTGTTTTTCTGTCTTCTGCACTCAGTAGGTATCTCCAAAACATAATCTCCAATTTGTATGGGTGCACACTGTTTCAATTTTACAGTTCTTATTGCCATTTACTTATGGTACGAGAAAGGGATTGCTGAGTTCCCAGTTCTAAAGATAGTTACTTTCTTAGTGACACAAATTAATACGTAATACAGTTCACCCTTTAACAGCAAGGGTTCGAACTGCTGGGGTTTACTTATATGCAGCTTTTCTTCTGCCTCTGAAATTCATAGACAGATGAAGACCTTTGTGAGGATCCACTTATGTTTTATGAAAAGTCAATGTATTTTTTCTGATGATTTTCTTTCTAACAGCTTAATTTCTCTAGCTTACTTTGTTGTAAGAACACAGTATATAATAATGCAGCACAAATAAAATAGGTTTTAATGGACTGTTTATGTTAACAGGAAGGCTTCCAGTCAATGGTGCGTTACTAGTAGCTAAGATGGGGAAATTAAAAGTTATACTCAGATTTTCAACTGCACAGAGATTAGAGTCCCTAACCCCCATATTATTCACAGGTCAACTATAATTATTTATTTACTAAATACAATTTATTATAAAAATGAAATAGAAGATCCATATGTATAACAAGTTCAATTCATTATAATGTGACTATAGAGAAAACATACAACATACTAATTTAACAATCTTTCTTCTTATTTATGCAAAAAATATTATATAGAATTTCAGGGATTGTAATTAAGTAAATGATTTTTTTTTCAGAAAATACTGTTTCAGATTATAAATTGGATACCACTACCTTCTTAAATAACTCTGAATTCCAAACTAAAGAAGTTAAATTTTGAAAATTAATTTACATATATGTATATATATATATATATACTTGCAATTTACACATATTTTTAAACTGGTCTTTTTCCATTAAAACTACCTTAATCTAGGCCGGTGCAGTGGCTCACGCCTGTAATCCAAGCACTTTGGAGGCCAAGGCGGGCAGATCACCTGAGGTCAGGAATTCAAGACCAGCCTGACCAACATGGTGAAACCCGTCTTTAAAAAAAATAAATAAAGCCGGGCGCGGTGGCTCAAGCCTGTAATCCCAGCACTTTGGGAGGCCGAGGCGGGTGGATCACGAGGTCAAGAGATCGAGACCATCCTGGTCAACATGGTGAAACCCTGTCTCTACTAAAAATACAAAAAATTAGCTGGGCATGGTGGCACGTGCCTGTAATCCCAGCTACTTAGGAGGTTGAGGCAGGAGAATTGCCTGAACCCAGGAGGCGGAGGTTGCGGTGAGCCGAGATAGTGCCATTGCACTCCAGCCTGGGTAACAAGAGTGAAACTCCGTCTCAAAAAAAAAAAAAAAATAAATAAATATAGACCAATCAATCAATAAATACATAACCCCCACCAAAAAAAACTACCTTAATCTTACATCTTACTTTTTTATCGAGAGTAGGAACAACACGATAAATGAGAAATTTACTATCAGAAGTTTTACTTGCATTGAAATATCTTATTTTTATGCTCCAAAATTTGGTGTCAAATTCTATGTACAAAAAAGTAATAAATAAAATTGCTATTTTAATACTAAAATAAAAAAATATTTCCAAACATATTAAATTCTTAAACCATTTCAGGCAATATCAACACTAATACCAGAACTTTAATTTCTGTCCCAGACACTTCAAAATTTTAAGCTTTACAAGTTTATTAACCTTTTAATTAAAGAAAAAAAAAGTGAAGTACTCAAAATGGAGGGAGCACAGCTTAGTAAATTAACTATAGTTAGCTGGACATCGTGTGAAGTGTCCTGCACTCAGAACAAGTCCTTGCTCTGTAACCAATAGGTATTTGTGTCAGACAAGTTACTTCTCTTAGGCTCCATGGTTTCTTCTAAAAAATAAGGATTTTGCTACCTTACTTCACTAGGTTGTTAGGAAGATGTAATGAGATTACATGCTTAAATGTTCAGAGAAATAGTAAAGCAATGGAATAACTTATTCTTGAACTTTATGGCTGAAACTATTTTGGAGTCCCAAATAAAGCTTGATGTGTGTTTTTCCATAGGTTCTAATATTCAAATGTTGCAGTTTTCATAAAATGTTATTAAGTGCTAATTTTGTTTATTAGTTGTATTGCAGCTTGTAATCCAGGGCATTTCAGCTAATTCATAACTTACAACTAAATTTATGTATATTATCTCATTAAAATAGATAACGTAATTGTCACCTATTACTGAGCTCATCAATCACACCAAGAGCAGAAAATTAACAGATGTCAAAACCTGGCTTGGACAACCACCACTCCTCTACCTCCTCAAACTGAGCCAGCACATCTGTGCTAGGATTCTGGATCTCCATGGTCCTCTAAAACTAACATACAAAAAAAAAAAACCTGCTTTTACTGTTTTTCAGGTTTATGAAGGAATGCAGGTTGACAATTTCCCATTTCCAAGACATGTACTAACAACATATTTGCATGTAACATCCCATATGTTACTCAGCTCTGCTCTCATTACATATATCACCATACATCAATAGTTTTATAGTAATCACAATTTTAATCTCAGGTATCTCCTGTTTTGGTTTGACTCACACTGCTTCCTTGGAGCTGGTCAACAAATAGTCAAATGACCTACCAGGGACAATGCAAAATATGGAATGCTTTATGAATTTGTGTGCCGTCCTTAGGCAGCAGCCATGCTTATGCTTATCTGCTCTCTACTGATCCAATTTTAAAGCGTATGCTGCTGAAACAAGTACAAAGCCCTGTTTTATACATGGATACTAATGAGTCATAGATGACGCCTAGCTGTGTTAAATCCAACTCAATTTTATTAACTTTATTAACTTTAAAATATATTTAAAACGAGGTAGATATAAAAGTAGCCTGGAGATTTTTATTATTGTAGAAATGGATTACTTGAGGGGCCTACTGCAAGTTGGTTCCCACTGCTCTGTGGAAAGAGAACATGGAACCTTCTGCTATCTAAACAAAGCTGCTGCACAGCATATAAAAAAGCTTCAAGATACAAATCTGACAGCAAAAGGGAAGGGGAACTCTAATCTCTTCCTGCAACATTATTTTAACACCTCTGACTGGTGGAACAATCTCAACTAATATTTGTCTGAGAAAAGACCAACAGGGGTCTCAAAGGATTACTTACCATGAAGGCCTAGCCTAACTCTAGCTGAGATGTGGGCTCCAATTAATGTTTTTAGTGTAGGGGAAGCATCAATCTCCTCTCTATTTGTGTGGGTAAAGCTAGGATGCCTGGCTCCCAGAGCAGGGTGCTGGGAACAATGGCTGAGCCTAATTACAGAAACTAAAGAACACCATAGCTTTGAACTCTATGTATAAATCACCATGAAAACTGAAAGGTCTGAATCAGTAAATGCATCCTGGTGGCAAAGGTCAATCATTATCAGATTGCAGGACCAGTTACAATGGCAACAATACAGCAAGTGAATCCATGGAAACAACAGAATAATTAGACTGGCCTATTTTCCCCCTTTGACTTGTAAAGAAAGATTGCCTTCCTTAGACTTAGAAAACACCTTAGCTTCTTGGAAAATTCAAAGAATTAAGACACAGGAGATAGCCCCAGGGAACAATACAAGATTTTCTGCTAAATTGAACATTTCAAGACCCAATAACTCATTAGAAAAGTCTGGGCAGGCATGGTTGCTAGCACTTTGAGAGGCTGAGGCAGGAGGATTACTTATGCTCAGGAGTTCAAAACCAGCCTAGGCAACATAGTGAGACCCTGCCTCTACAAAAAAAAGAAAAAGCGGGCGGTGGGGGCCGTGGAGGGGGAGGGGGAGGAGGAAAGAAGAAGAAAGGAAAGAAAGAAAAAGAAAGAAAGAAAAAGGAAGTCAAAGATGTGTCTCTATTTTTATCTGATGCATGGGGATTATACTTAGAATAAAATGAACCACATTGAGCTCCCTAGAAATAAAGGTCTTAAAAGTCCTGAAAGAATCTTACATTCTACTTCTAAGTAATCTAGCCTTCTGCTTGATTTCTATCTAAAAAGTGGACTAACTCTTGCTATTTCAAACTACCCAAAACAAACTATGAACTCTCACCTGATGTATAAGATTCAATGGTTGCAATTATTTTAAACATCAATTTAGTATTAACTGGCCTTTTAATACAAACACCTTGTCAAACCATGATAAATAGCATAATCTTCTGCATCTCATACACACATAACTTGAGTAAAGACATTAATATTTTCCTGAAGAAAAATATTGACAATACCTGATGAGCCATAATGTACAGGAAGCATGAGAGCTGTTCTAAAATAACAAAGAAATAACTCCATTCAAGAACTTTAATAAAGTCATTACTAAACAGCTAGTTTGATACACTCTATCAATTTAATATCCTGCCTGTCAATGTAGACATAATAACCATTTACATGTACTAGCTTGTGTCTATAAGCATCTTGGATGCTAAAGTATTCATCTTTGAAATTATCACCAAGGATAAAAGAAAGGAATGACAAGGAAGTCTCTTGTTCCACTGGGGTATGACATAGTACAAGTTGCTAACTTATAGTCCCTTGATGGCCAAGAAAATGTGCTGAGGTCATTTATCTGAAGTAGGCAAAGATTTAAATGAAGATTTCCCTTTCCTAGTCTGATATATTATAATTCATATCAGCTAGGAGTCAGATAAGAGCTATCTACAGCCTAAAAACAATAAATAACAATAATGGCAATACTAACAGTCATAAACTAAAAGTCCACCCTTCGAAAATTAATAAAATGCAAAAACCTTTAGCTAATGTAAGATTACAAGACCAAAAACATCAGGTTACAAATAACACTCTACATTATAAGAGAAAATGAATCCTACTATATGTTCTTTATGTTGCTTAGTCCAAATATTTTCTTTTCTACCTATTTGTGTTTTTTTCACTATATGCCAATAATTACGTTAATCTTATTAATATTTCTCACTTGAGTGACTCCACTCTAGAACACTCAGGTTTTCATTTTAAACAAAACTACTGTACTGTCTCAGCCTATCAACAGCATGTACATTTGCTTGTTTTTTCACTAAAAATTCCACCATTTGCTTTCTCTTGCAAATTACAGCAAATAAATTGGTGTGTTTCCATCCTATAAAACAGGAAAAAATATCCAAAAATTACAAATTTCTAAAATGAACTAAACATCTTCTCTAAGATGTTTGAACTTCAACATACAATATAGAAAGGAAGTAAATGAAAACCATTCCCTTCCTTCTCACTCCTCTGTGCTTTCTGATGTGCTGCTCTTTGCCTTGCAAACTCTGCTCCTCTGCCTCCCCACATTAACTGTGGTCATTGCCAAAATTCCCTTCAAACATGCCAGTCCCAAGAATCCTTGCTTTGATCACAGCACTTAGCATGGTATATTGTAATTATTTCATTGTTTCCCACTGAAACCAACAGCTTCTTGAGAGTAAGGCCTGTATCTTTTATCTCTATAGCCCCCCAAATCTAAAACATATTAGCAAATAAAGTTTTTTACATAAATTAATGATCTAAATTGTTATCTCTAGAGCAGTTTCTTAAACTATATTCCAAAGAATATTTGCTTATTGTAACCCAAGAGAAAGACTCTATGACAATCTGCATATGAGAAGTATTACAAAACTGTATTTTCTAACCAGTAATCAAGAAATCTCTTGAACTGTACCTAATACCCATTTGACGATACTTTTTGTGGCAAATATTAACATTTAAGAAATTAAGAGTTTCAGAGATAGTTTCCAGAGCTTCCCAATACAGTTGGAGGTTTCCTCTGGGTGGTACAAATTTGCTTGATTCATTTCTATCAATGATGTTAGGATCCCAGATGCCAATGTCAGGCACTCCTCCTCCAAATGGGTCACTAAGGAAATGAGCTCTGAATTAAGAATGACTGGCTTCAGCCGGGCGCGGTGGCTCAAGCCTGTAATCCCAGCACTTTGGGAGGCCGAGGCGGGTGGATCACAAGGTCAAGAGATCGAGATCATCCTGGTCAACACGGTGAAACCCCGTCTCTACTAAAAACTACAAAAAAAAATTAGCTGGGCATGGTGGCACGTGCCTGTAATCCCAGCTACTCAGGAGGCTGAGGCAGGAGAATTGCCTGAACCCAGGAGGCGGAGGTTGCGGTGAGCCGAGATCGCGCCATTGCACTCCAGCCTGGGTAACAAGAGAGAAACGCCCTCTCAAAAAAAAACAAAAACAAACAAACAAAAAAGAACGACTGGCTTCAAATGTACATATTTTCCATATTATTAAATAGTCCATGGCTTTCTTTTAACACAAAAGAACGGATTTTTATCTTAACTGTTACGAAGCTCAGTATGTTCTGCGTAAGAGAGAGAGATTTAAAAAACTTAAAAATAGGGCCGGGCGTGGTGGCTCAAGCCTGTAATCCCAGCACTTTGGGAGGCCGAGGCGGGTGGATCACGAGGTCAAGAGATCGAGACCATCCTGGTCAACATGGTGAAACCCCGTCTCTACTAAAACTACAAAAAATTAGCTGGGCATGCTGGCAAGTGCCTGTAATCCCAGCTACTCAGGAGGCTGAGGCAGGAGAATTGCC